TGAACCATGGATAGGCATTGAATATACATTCAAACTTTCCAAGGTCAAATAATTTCTATGTTGAACTTATTTTACATGCCAAATTTTCCATTAATTAACAATCAAATTTAGTCCATGTCAAATTACTTTCCTTTAGTTTGAATGAAAGATTAAAACAATGAAAGAAAATGTTCAAAGTATTTTTTTTAATGTATATCAATGAATACACAAAAACAAAGTAACGGAAGAAAGGCAGGAAATTATTTTCCAGATAGTGCAATGCTTAATTATAAATGTATGTTTTTATACCAAATTTAGGAGTGCAACTCATCAGAAGCTATGGCACTCAACATCATTTAAATTCAAATCGTAGCGTTTATGGTAAAACTTCCCGAAACGCTAAACAAAACGGTACTGTGTGTCCAAACACAGACCATCGTTTAGAAAAATCTTACCATAAATACCATAACGTTTTGGGAAGTTTTACCATAAAAGCACTTAGAGGGCATCTAAAATTATCAGTCTTATTTAAGTTATATGTAGAAAAGCTAATATTTCTTAATTGTATTTTTCCCCTTCCTTAAGTGCAATTTTATTTTTCGATTCATTTTTCAGGACCTAAAAGGATTTTGTTCCACATTACTTAGAAACCCTCGCCTCTTCCCCAACAACAAGTATTTCTGAACACTCCCTTACCAGTTGGTTAAATAATAATAATATCAGGTTGAGGTTAATGACATGGGCATAAATTGTCTTATTCAGGATTATGTTTCTGTTTTATATTTACTTTGTTGATATGCCATATTGGATATAATTTCTAGGCATAGGCCTACATTTGTCAAGCGTATTATTAGCCTATGCCTAGGCTAGAGGAGAGGGTACATATGAAAAGAAACTTTTTTTGTCTACATTTCCAAGTTTTCTGTCAAAATATTCTAGCAGAAGACAGTGATTGATCAGTGCCCAAGAAGTCTTCCTATTATATGTCTAGGCTGGCCTTAACGAATTTAATTAATTTTGCTTAAAGTAAGCCTAGCCTAGGCCTAGGGCCAGGCTACGGGTGGGTGCCTGGGGGTCTATCTATCTGATAGGCCCCTATTAGGCCTAGGCCTAGCCTATGCTAGGCCTAGCCTAGGTAGCATAGGCCTAGGTTTGGTCTAGGCCTATTTAACTTACGCAGTTTTGTTATTGCCAAATGACTGATGAAAAGAAGAACAACCGACCAATAATGTTTCGACTTTTGATGGAAAGACGTCAACAACCAGACAAACATTAATGAGGTTAGACAAGACATACGTGCATATAAACAGAGGGTGCGTCGTCAACTGTCTGATTTCATTCAGCCGCCGGCGGGGGAAAAAAGCCTGCCCGCACACATTACACGCGCCTAACTGTCATTCGTCGTACGCGCGTGCACTAGTTTCTTTAAAGCCCGCCGCACACGATAAGATTTAACTGTTATTTCTGCTAATAAGGTGCTCATGTGAACTTGCTGAGGTGCTCATGTGAACCTGCTAAGGTGGATTTACTAACCAATCATGCGAACCTGCCGAGGTGCCAATTTCATGTAAACCTGTTAGGTGCTGATTGAACCCGTAAGGTACTGTGATTACTCAAGGTGCCTAATATAATTTGTAACGACGTTGTAACGCGTAGCAGCCCCGACGCAGTCGGGAAGGCTCCCTCATGATTCGACCGACCAATCAGCACAAAGCTTGGTTTCCATAAAATCGCTAACCCTATCGGCGACAGTCGCCGACAGTTGAAGGTTGAACCTGGTTCAACTTTGCTGATTGCACTGCAGACGAATCGGGGTGGCGGGGTGGGCACATGATCCTGTTTTGTCTGCAACGGTTGAACCAAGTTCAACATGCACTGTTGGCGAAAGTG